TCACTGCTGGAAGATGGCAGGAGGGAGGGGCTACTATATTTGGGCAGAAATGGCCGCTCCCAGACTCAGTGATCGCAATGAAAATTATTGTTTTAATTTTTTTTACTGATTAAACCTTTAAAGCCCGATCCAAGAATAAAACAAAACAGAAGATAACTTTTTTTGGTTTGAATTCCTTCTTTGGCCTTTTAACAAAATATGTAAAAAGAAAAAACAGAAATACATTTTTGATATTAACAATTTATTACTATGCGATTAGTCAAGATTATTTTTTGTGTAGTCTTCTGCCCTCTGTTATAGGTATATCTGATTGTGTACAATAGGATTTTGAGCAAAGTTTTTACCATTAAATTATGCAAAAGGTGTCAGACGCAAAACATTTCAGAAACCGTATGTATCACATATGATACATTTGGCATTATAGGGTTAACGCTAAATTCATTAAGTCACTGCAAACGTATTAGTTTAATGTATAGATAATAATCCATTCATCATTCCTTGCTGAGCGTTTCCTTTAAAACACCTTCCTGCAGCAGTTTTCTCCAAAGTTTTAGAAACAGGTTTGTGATAATTTGTGGATATTCCAGCATGACAGGTCACCGTGCAACAAGGCTTAATTAACTGTTAACTCCTTGGTAACCAGCCTGCTTTAAAACTGGATCAGCAGCTGGTAGTAAAAATAAAATGAAACCAAAACTCTTCCAAGTGATCTATAACCAGCTCCTTGAGGAACTCCACCTGTGATCTATCAGTTTCTGTATAGACTGTTTAGAGTCTGTGTCTCACTGAGAAAGCCAAAGGAAGTTAAATCCGGAACATTATCCTGGCTTTCATATAATGAAGCGTTTAATAATCAGATTAGGCTGAGAATTGTGCAGCGTAAATCAGGTTAACAAACCCAGAGCATATATTTCTATGGTCACATGATAAAATTCAGAAGATGTAGACGGAGCATAAGCATTAAAACTATTTGATTTGAAATAGAATAAGTCTGGATGTTATTAGGATTCACGCATGAGAAACGATAGTTTCTACTCTCAAATGATAATCTCTCCACCTCATCAGCACCTGATTGATGCCCAAGGGTTGGTTCACCTCAGGACGTCACTCAGGGAGCGGGTCACCTTGACTCTGAACGATACAGAACACACACACTGCTCCGCACAGCTAGAGTGTGTGTGTCAGATGGAATAATATCAGTTTATTTAATGTGATTTATCATCCACAGAAACACCGGGACACCCAAGGACACCATGATGTCATCTGCCGGGTGGGTGGAGTAGGTGTTGTCATAGCAACATGGTGACCTTTTCTCAGATTGGACAAATTAACGGCACCCAGCGTAGATGCTCTGCTCATCAAGGGTTGTGTGCTCTGATTAGCAGCAGGAGCTAATTAACAGCACACACAGGAAGCAGCTGTCGTTTACAGCTTAAACAAGCTTATTGCATCATCCAGCAGCTGCAAGACACACTGGAGGAGCAGGATTAAGATCTAGATTGACTCCACCAACATGGGCAGCGAGGGTCAGCTAGATATTATAACCCCACTCAACCTTGGGAGCTGCAGCTTCCAGGTGATGAAGCAGACATTTTGGGAATTCTGGGCTTTAGCAGCAATACCCTGTAGATAGCACACCAGACTTCATTCATCTCATCAAGTCATCATGTTTAGATTGGTTGGAAAGAAAACCTGCAGCGACACGGCCCTTTCTGGAACCACTTTGACACCCCTGCTTTAGAGAGATGGCTGTTAAATGGACAGGTTGATCAGAAGGGTTATCGACTAAAAGATAAAGAAGGGACTCTGCTTGGCCTGGGATTTTTTTCTACGCTACCATAAGGGAAGTCTTCTCTGGGTCCTTTTTTTCTTGGGGAAATTCTTTCTAAACATTTTACTTGGACATAAATTGAATACCATTTTTTTCTAATGCGACAGTTCCTTTTTTAAGGAATTGTTGGCAACATTATTTGAGATAATAAGTCCAGCAGTCCTCCAGTAATCTAAGCTATAGGCTTAGACTTCTGGAGGACATAGGGACCCCTTTTTCATCATTCTGCTTCATTCTATCTCTATTCTCCCAC